CTTTTTTTTCCCCCCCCCCCCCCCCCCCCCCCAAAAAAAAAAAAAAGTACAAGTGGAGAGGCGAGGGGCAGCGAGAATAAAATCATAACAATAGCATGTTCACATGCATCTGGGTCTCGCATCTCAGGTGGGAAGTTTCCAGCCCCTTGAAGGGGCGTAATCAAGGCAGCGCTTGTCCGTGTTGCTGCAAAAGTGCGCATTCAAACGGCAAACGTGTTGCGAAAGAAAAGAGACAAATGAGGGGGCAAGCGTTCGCCCAGGTGGCTACTGCAATTCAGCGTCGTAGACAAACACAGATTCGCTCGGCCGTCGGCTCCCCGCATCAACACCAGTGATGTGGCTGGCGCTGCTGCGGCGCGAAGAAAACGGACTGACATTGCGTTGTACCTCATCGACGTCAATCACGTCGACGCTGCGATGCAGCGAGTTTGCAGACAGATGCTGCGGCGCAGGTGGGTTTGGCTCGGAGGCTGGCGCCGAGAGCTCTGGTACCACCTCACCCTCGCCCACTGGGCCGACAGTAGCGCGACCTGGTGACATTGCCCTGTTCGAGTCGTGGCGGCTTGCTTGACTCGTCTCGTGGTCCGGGTTGGTGGCTTCGGCAATCACACCCAAGTCGGGATAGTAGCTCGACTGCAACAGCAGGGGCGGAGGATTGCGTGGCGAATGGGGTGACCGTAGCTCGGTGGGTAAGACGCCCGGCCGCATGGGTGATGGCAGACCGATTGTAGCTGGAGTTGGTGGAGGCGCGCCGGTGCCTTGCAAAGAGCTCAGGTCAATGCGTAGATGCGAGCCCGGCTTCATGACGTTTTCATAGCTGGGCGCAGGCTCGAGCATTTTATCAGCCTCTCCGCGCGTCTCAACATGGTGCAACTCTGTGCCCTGCTCCACGGCCTCACGGGCCGTCAAATCATCCGGAGGCGGTCCTACATCGGCATATCGTGGCAAGGCACTACACAGGCACATGGGGAAAAGCCAACATTGAGCGCGTTGCTCATCCCCATCTGCAACGCACAGTTTCAAAGAAAAACCCACTTTTCATTATTGCCTTCCTGTCCCGCTTCATCACCTCCGTGCCTGCCATGCATGCATGCCGATTGTTAGGGATACTGGCGACCAAAAAAAAACATCCCCGAGGCTTGGTTCCCTCATCGAGAAGAATTAATGAAGGTGCATCAGAACCGGAATAACGAATTGAGAGCAGGCCAGAAGGTAGACCAGTTGGATCGACTTGCTGTTTACCTTGGAGAGAAGCAGCACAACTGCGCGCAAATGTCACCGCAGGCACTGCGGCAGGCTTGACGCGCGCCTGGCGTGACCACTATGGTTCGCAAGCAGAACAAGACTGCAAGGGGAAGCCATGGTTGACCGACCACCCACACATGACCACAGCGGTCAGATTGCTTCACACAGCTAGCCTTGCACAAATGAAGGAAAGAGTAGGGGGAAGGGCGTAGGATGCGGCACCCGCTTGGAAAAAACTTACAAACAAAGATGAAAACTGAGATGAAAAACCAAAACAAGACTTGGGAGGCCGTGTCCACTTGGCGCAGGGCGTTGGCTGAATCCGAGTTGGCACACTCGAGAGTTGGCTCCACCAGCTGGTAACAATCAATGTCAAGCTCGGGGGCACAGGCATCGGTACAGAGACCATCCCCCCACTCGGAATTGGTACAAGGCCAGTTGGCAGGAATGAAGCGACAATCTTGGCACGCGCTGTTGCTGAGATTACCACCGCGACACGTTGCCGCGCTTTGGGCTGCCCCGAGTGCGAGCCAGGTGCTGCACAGCAGCACAGCAAGCTCCAAAGACGGAGCCATGGCGGCAGAGCAATGGTCGCGTCGACACCAAGGCAACTCAAAAGCAGCAGCGCGAGCATGCACTCGCGGCCAGTTCTACGTTTGTTTTCCTTGAGATTCCGAATCTGCTGTCTCGAGGCCGGACGCAGCATAAGAAAATCCCAGAAAGCGGCCCAAGACTTTCTCAGTTGGGAGGAGTATGGTGCCGTGGGTATACTTGGGCCCTGGTGCACCGGGATGGACTAGCCTTGGTCGCAAGTAGGCTGAGTGGCGTCGTGGAGTACACGCAAAAGGTCAAGGGCTGTGATGTATGCACGGCGCCAGAGGGCGGAGAGCGACGGTGTGATGGAGCAAGCGTGGAGGCCTTCTCTCGACACGGGATGGGCTGTGATGACGGGATGCAGCCACGACGAGGGCTGAGTCACACAAAGAGCTGCGCCGTGGTCGAGGCCGTGAGCAAGAAACGGTCGCCGGTGATGGATGAGCGAACAAGAAACAAGTCGCCAGATGCGCTGGCACGGTAAAAAATCAGATCTCGACTGCACCAGGCCGGTCGTGCAAAGGCTTGCGACGATGACGCGGAACCAGCGATGGCGGGGACAACGGGGGAAAATAAAACAGCCGCTGGCGAGATGTCGTCCAACCAAAGCAACGTTGAGCCATGTATCCATCCTTTCGAGCACAGCGCGACCAACAGCTGCAACCCATCCTCACACTTGATCCTTCGCGAACGAACCACTCGTCCCCTCTTCCCACACACGAGAAAGCAAGACCTCCGACCCCGCATCCTCCTCTTGCGCCTGTCACACACACACGAAAGAGAGACAGACAGAGAGAGAGAGAACGAAAATGCATCGGCAAGCCATCACCACTATTGGCTAATTCTTACGACACATCGTTTCGTTTTTATGCCTCTAACTCTCTTTTCTGTCTCTCTCAAACTCTCTGTCTGTCTCTCTCTCTCTCTCTGTTTCCCTCACTCTGCCTCTCTCTGTGTCTCTCCCTCACAACTTCTCTTGCCCTCTTCTGTGATTCATGTGGATTTCTTCGGGTTCAACGATCAAAAGGCCACTTGGCGATTAACATGTTTAAAAAAAAGCATCCAAGCCAGTTGAGAGGGCGACTCTCAACAACGATGACAACATGCGGGGCATGCTCGTTCACTTGCACAAAGACACACAAACACGCGCCCACGCACATGCACCCTCAAAATGAAAATTTATCAAGGCCGTTGAGCCGTGCATGGCATATACCATCATCTATTTGCGGCGGCGACGCATCGGCTCCATCAGCTCGGCATACTCTGGAATGCGCCTACGAATCACCCATTTCATGTGAGAAAGCGTCGAGCCAGAACACATGCCCACTCACCAATGGACATCCTTCTCTTGAGAAATACGCACTTGACATAGGTGCCGTTAAAGTCAATGCGCACGGCGAGAGAGCGCAGCGTCGGATCTTCAATGCTGTGCAGCATGATCAAAAACTTGCCAATCATGCGCTGCAAGCAGACATCAAGGAACCAAGCCGTGAGATTGCACTCATCACATGAGTTGACCCGCAAACATCCACGTTAGCCATATCTGGCTAGGAAGCACAAACAGGAAGCCCGGCAGCTAGGTAAACATTTGTACGCCTACCTCAAGCGATTGAGCAATCACAGACACGTGGCCGTGCAACTCTTGGATGCTGGCGTGAAAAGCTTCTTCCTCGCGCTGCTGCACGGTGGTCGTTCGCGCGTCCTGTGCCCAGTCACCTCGCGCCGTGCGAACGCCCTCCTGGAGACGGATGCGCCGCTGGCGATCAAGCTCGTCCAGCAGCCGCTGATGCAGTTGTTCCTGACGCAACTTGAACTCTACCACCAGATCAAATACTGACCGCAGCTGGGACAATACATCCTATTCGGCAGAGCATCCAAAATTGAGTTTGTAAACGAGAACAGGGCGGCTATCATCGATGCAGTCCTCATTGCCCAAAGTCGAACCTTTTGCTCGGGAGTGAGGAACATGCGCTGCATCGTCATGTTCAAAAATCCCCCGTGTGCTTCAATAATGTCGTCCAAACCCGACGCGTGGGCCAGGCGCTCCTGCAGATCATGCCAGTTGCTCTCGAGCACCTCAAAGAGCAGGTAGTACTGCACCTCTTTGACAAAATGTCCCATCTCCGCCGCTACCATCCGACTGTCATGTAGTAAAGGATCCAGACCTATCGGATGCACACCCGTGCCGGTCAGGTCCTCCCGGGTTGCACCTACACCCGTAGCGACGATGTATCATGCCTTTGCACGCACCAGTCAGGCCCTGCACCAAACGAGCCAAGCTCATTTGCTCATTCCACAGTGACGCCAGATTGAACTCAATGCGCTTGCCTCGCCACAAGAATTGGAACACTGCAACCAGATTCAACATCATTGAGATTGAAATCAAAAATGGGGTCCCATGGGTATGCCTTGCTGCTGGAGCCACCTCAGCCGAGACAGACTTACTCGTCAAGTATTTGAGCATGGCATCGGGCGTAAAGATGACACTGAGAGGGCCGTCCACGTGGTAGGCCAGCGTGAACACATCCCAGCCGCAGTCGCCTGGGGAGATCTAAAAGTGGATGGCATGGCAAGTGTGGGGGAGCCAAAGTCAGTCTGTGCAAGTGATAACACAAGTGGCCGCCAAGTCGAGTCGGTTTGCTTGCTCGGCCCTGCGCTTGCATCGTTACCTCCATCAGCTTGACATCGAGACGCTCCAGGGCCTCGGCCGAGGCTTCGCCCCAATTGGTGGAGCGGATGACACCATCCAGCACGCCCAGGAGATTGTGCAAAAATAGCTGCCCAGCTGGTCGTTCCAGCTCGTCACTGCTCGCCCGCCAAGCACAATAGAATACAGAGAAGGATGAGTGCCATGACCATGGGTTCATAGCGCACAGCGTCGATAGCGCCAGGCTGTTACCAGTACAAAAATTACACACATGCATGCGTACCTGAGCTCGTCCATGAGATTGCGCACAAAGTCACCCTGGCCCAAAAGCAGGGTCATACGCATCAGGCGCAGATGTGTGCCAAGCTGTTGCTGATCCACCAACAAGTCCATCAGTCTATGCGTTTCAACCAGACCAGAGTGAGCTTTCGAAACGCATTCCTATTCTCAAAGTCTGCCGCCTTGCCAGCCAGCCAGCCAGGCTACCCACTGCCCTCCGCCTAGCCAACCAAATGAAAACAACAACAAAAAAGACATCTGATACACGAGGAGGCAGTGTAATCTTACGCAGCTGATGCCTGGTGCTCAGCCTCGCGCACGATATCTGCCAACGCGGCTGTTGATCGTCCATCGAAACCTGTGACGGCACAACGGTCAGTAGGCACCGACTCAAACGCGATGAAGACTACGACAGCAACCTCAGTGCAGCACGGACGAGTATGGAGGGCCACGAGGCCTAACCTTCAGAGCTGGGAAGACTGCGGATTGGGCGGGCTCGTGCCAGAGCATCGAGATGAAAATTGCGGACCCCACACACGGACCGAATAAACTCGATCGTCTTGCCCACCTGGCCATATTTTAGACAAAAAGCAAACGGTCGTGAGATCATCCAACACATAAGACGACGGTGTTGTTCAGTCAAAGTATTGACAATCACCGTTCCACGCACCGATAGCACCGTTTCAGCCAGCGCTCGCGGGAAGAAGGAAGGCAGCATGCTTGACCTCAATCCAAAACGATGCGTCCACACCTGCGACATGAGCGCAAAGTGAATGCAATGCGGTCCAAACAACAGGTAGATGGAATGAGACGTCAAGCGCTTCTGTAATTGTGGAAGGCGTCTCTACTTACGTGTTGCGCCTCGACGGCTGCGCGGTTGGCTGTGACGAAAAATTCCCTATCATACATACCCGAGGCAAAGTAAAAGCTTGAGAAGACTGATCAAGACAAAACAAGCACGCGTCGTCAGCATACGTACCCATGCTGATCGTTGAGATTGCCAAAGAAAACCCAATCATGCAGCATGTCGTAGAGAGGTTGCAGCGAGGCCACCATGACGTGGTTGACAAGCTGTTGTACGTGTGCGTCACCATGATGGCCGTATTTGTACATCATGGACAACAACTGGCCGCCCTTGAGGCCTGACGCGACGTCAATGAGTGAGACCAGATGCTTGAGGCGAAAGAAAGGCTCGGCCGTCCAGACCACCAAGCGACGCAGCGTCAGTTGCAATTGTTCATCATTGAGTCGTCCGTCTGCGTTGAGCTCGAGCTAACGTTGATACCAAAATTTAAAAAAAAAAAAAAAACAGAAGTGAGGGACACAATTCATTGGCATTGCCAAAAAGAGCTTGACGCTTCATTGACTCACCTGACCCTCGAGAACTGCAATCAAGCGGTAATAGTCTGCGAGCTGATCATGCAAAGCACTGCAAAATGCCTAAAAGTGCAAACAACAGACGCGAATGGTGTTCCAAGATGATGAAGTGGCTTGACGACAGAAAAAAATAACAACTTGGTCTTCACGACGCATCCGCCCGCGCCCGTGTACTAGTGGTGCCATCAATCAACCCACCTGGCCAACAGCACCGTAGCTGAGATCGCCGCGGCATGTCTCGATGTAAAGGCGAACTTGGTTGAACAGCCAGCCGAGCTCGGCCAATTTGCTGACCAGCTGACGTGTCGGGGCAGGTACTCCTACATCTGGCGCCACCTTGCCGTTTGAATCAACCGGAGTGAGACGGCGTGAAGGGCTTTCGCAACCTTGTACCGCCTGCCGTGACCTCTGACACATCAACTTACTCGGAAGGCCTCGATACGCGAGTCGTAGATGATGTATTTGCCAGCATTGCCGTGGCAAGCAAGCAGAACGTCTTTGAGCAGGTGGCCCTGGTTGATCTCATAACGATCTAGCAATAGAGTCAAGGTTGATGAGACAAATGAGAAAGAGCAGAGTGCCGCATTGAAAGGCTTTTATCTGAGAAGCAACAGGCAGATCATACGCACAGTTGTCGTGGCGTGCCAATTCTTGCAGCAACTGCACGCGGCCTGCATCTTTCCTGCACATGGGCATGAACCTGCGGCGTAAGATCGGGCCCACACGAAATGGCAAAGCAAAGCCGAGGAGCAACGGCACGTCTGCTTACGCGGCATGCGTTTTGGCGTCGTGCTGCGGCTTGGTAAGAGCATGAACGGCCTGTTTGGCCGGAATCACAGATGCCGTAGGGGCCTCGACAGACAAGGACATATGCTGGAAAGCGTCATTTGTCTGCCCACGGACCAGCAAGGTGATTGGGCAGGTCAGCATCGGAGGCACAATGATGCGTGTTGACCCCAGGGCGCTAGAAGCGGGGCTCACCGTTTTTTCGGTCACACTACCCGAGCCGCTCAGCGCATATAGCAGGGCCAAGGCTGCACCGGGCTCTTGCAAAGCCGTCTGCATATGAGCACGGGTGCTATGATGTGAGACAAAGCTCTTGAATCAACTCCTCATGAGACACTAAAGGGCGCGCGGGGGGGGGGGGGGGGGGGTTTAGGCATGTTTGCTGACTCTGTGCCGGGCTCACGACTCGCTCAAGGCAAAGATGTCGAAGAAGAACCGTTCACTTACCACGGCGCTGCAGCAAGGTGTTGAGGTCCCCCAGATCCGTGGGCAGTGCCGACTCAATGCGACTGCTCAACAGGCGAATGGCCAGCTTGAGCTGACGCAGCTTCCCACGCTCATCTATCCTCGATTCCAGATGAGTCGTCTGAGGTTACCATCCAACCTGCTGGACAGACCAACAAAGGCAGTCGTGGCCATCGTGGCCAATACCACCTCGCATGTGCGCCCGGCTGGCTTACCGTGATGTGGGAGCTGTGCATCCACCAACGCACGAATGTTCTCCAACGCACGCTGGTGCTCAGCCTTCGTCCCCGCAACCGCCACGGACGCCGCCATGGCTCACTCACTCACTCACTCTCAGAACGTAACGGTCAAACGGTCAACTGACACACACACACACACACACACACACACACACACACACACAAAACAAAAAGATTTTTTCGAACAAAAGATTGGATTTTAAAACTGAAAAAGCGAAAAATTCGAGTACATGTACAGGGAAGTGAGGTGACGCTCGCGGCTGCGAGACGAATGTTGGAGCTGAAGCTCTTTGTGTGCTATTGGTGCTCTGTGAATTGAGCTTGTTTTTTTGTTGTTCTAACGCTCTGGGACAGGCTGGCTCTCGTCTCCCGTCCCTCTTGCCTCGCTCTCATCTCCTCCTGCTCCTCTTCATCTTTTCGCACTCTCTCGTCGATGAGGTTGGAAAACAATAAAAAGTTTGAATTTCATCTCCACAATCCGCCGACTCGAGCCAACGCGACTGCACGTTTTCAAGCTGTCATCCGCAACTGAGTCCCATCAATCTGTATTAACGTTTGGTTTTCTTGGCACTCCGACGCCTGTCGTTGACCCGACACAGCAAGGTGAGCAACTGACCGGCCTACCCAAACGATTGACGCGCAATGCAAAGACGTACGGTGTGTTTGCACTCGTTGCAGAAGCTGACGTCGTGGTCTTGCGCCCGGGGGTCATCTCGTGAATGGCTTCCTCGGCCTTGATGGCCGCCTATGTCCCACAGGACAGAATCAGAGTGAGCGCGGACAGTTGGCTGACTGAAGAAATTGTCTCCAACTAACGAACCTTGCGGCGAGGGCGTAGACGACTAGAGGGGGTGGTGGGCTGCGAGGTGGTGGAGCCACGAGTGCCCCGGTGCACTGGTGTTGTGGTGGCTTGTGCGGCCAACGACTTGGCGGGTGTGGAGTGGCGCAAACTCGATCGAGTATGACTTGACGTCGCCTCACCCGCGGCGTCTTGAGCCGCTTTTGGACTGTTTGTCACCACAATCTTGGGCCGCAGTGGGGATTGTGCAGCCTCTGGTGCTGGCTGAATGCGCACTTTGCGTGGTGAAGGCATGGTCACTGCTTGCTGGCCTGCTTGGCTGACCGACGCGGATGGGCTACCCGCTACAAGCGGACTCGAAGTAGCAGGTCGGTTGGGGCCTCCGGGGGATCGCACCATGCGCTTATGACGCAAGATTGTGGTTGTACTCGTCAACACCCGATCAGCAGACTTTGGTCCCGCCTCCTCCTCGCGAGCAGCCGTAGTGGAGCTCGCCATCTGACGGGGAGGTGTTTTGAGAGCCGTGTTCTGACCACGCACGCCAAGCAATAGATCCTGCAGACCTGCTTGTTTTGCTTGCATGGCCAACCGTTGGGCACGCGGCAAGTTTTCCAACGCCACAGCTGGCGTCTCAGCCTTTGGTGGTGAAGCATTGCCTTGCGCGGGCGTGGCAGGCGCTTCCACAGCCTGGTCCTCTGTTTCATCCATGACCACACCCGATGTCGTGCCGTGTTCGGACAAAGCCGCTGGAGGTGGAACATCACTCTCACTCACCATGGCCTCGGTCTCCATGGCCTCGGTACCCTGGGCCTCTGTCTCCGGGGGCCCTGTTTCCAAGGCCTCGGTCTCTAGTGCCTCGGTCTCTGGTGCCTCGGTCTCTGGTGCCTCGGTCTCTGGTGCCTCAGTTTCCAAGACCTCGGCCTCCGAGGATTGAGTCTCAGGCTCCCCAGTTCCGAGATCCTCGGGTTCTACGACCTCGGATTTCGTGCCCTCAATGTCGGAAGTCTCGGCTTCTGGAACAGCTCCCACATCACTTTCATCCATTGGAACCTGATATGCAGATTGAGGCTGTGCGTTGGTCGAGGAGACCACTGGTGACGCATCCCCATTGAGGGGTGATGTCCTGGGTTGCGGTGAACTTGGTAAATCATGTTTGACCTCGGGCTTGGGGGATGGTGCCGGATCAGGGCTGCCCAAAGAGAAGGCCGGAGGTGCCCCAGCCGCCACAGGTGACCCGGGCGACATGGACGGCGACAAGGGCTCTTGACGAAGACGCATCGGTGTCGATGCAATGACTTGATCCGTGGGCAGGTTGATGATGATATCGCTGTCATCTTCATCATCGTCGCCGTCTCCACTCATGTCCATTGATTCATTACCCATGTTGGCAGGCAGACTGGGGCTGGAAGTTGTGGGCACGGGTGATGCGGATTCTGGCAGATCAAAAAGTCGAGTCTCCTGTTGTGGACTAAATGTGATGTGCTCCCCCAAGTGCTGCGACTATGGAAGCAGGGGCGGCAGGGCAAAGTGGTGAGGCAGGCCTGCCATGCTCACATACTTCCATACAAAAGCAGGAAGTGATGCCTCACCGGTCCACCCGACTGCTTGCGAAGATTGGAACGGGTCGGCGTGTGGGCCAGTAGGCGAACTGGACTGCTGACCACAGCAGGCAGCGGCGAAGGGACAGCCTCTGTCTCGTCGTCAAATGGTCGCAAAACACTGACCCTACAAGACATGAAACAGACATCAGCAGCCATAGACACATGAACACGTATGCGCACGCTGTCACCCCGCTGTTCCCAAAACTACGCTCACGCCAAATCTTACTCAAGACCCGTTTGGTCAGCTTGGCCACGCAGCTCAGCCACACTGGCATTGATGATGGTCGAGAGACCTTCACGTCGCCCTCCCAAGAGGGAGTAGCGACGCGGCGTTGCAGCGCCTTGACGGCTAGGGGTCACGGGTGGGCCCTCGAACGGGCGGGCGGGCTTTGTCACAGTTGGCGACGCTGATGGAGTGCCCTCAATCTTCGCGACAACTGTCTCCAAGAGCGAGGTGCGTGTGGGCGTGGCCACGCCCTGGTTCCGCAAGATGGCATTTGTAGTCAAAGCCGGTGACGCTCCTGGACTCTTCTGATTCAAGCGGTTGAGCGGCGTGCTGGGTGTCTTGCTCAACAAGGAGGTACGGGTGTGCAGTGCCAAATGTCGTTGGGACGGCGGCAATGTCGACAAGTAATTGTTGATCATAGCCTGCCGTTCGGCGGCACCTTCAGGGTGTACTCGACGCAGCTGCGAAGACAGACCCAGTGAGCTTGGTCGTGTCGAGCCATAACAGCCCCGCCGATCCATGCTCTCCTTGCCCTGCCCTGCCCGCGAAGCCTCTTCGAATCTCACCTCTGCATCCACCTCGCGTGCCTCGGCGAAGCGACCGCGCTGCAAGAGATAAACGAACAAAGCAGCCTACCATTGTCATCCGAGCTCATGAGTGAGGCGTGATAGCACGCTGGGAGAATTGCACAAAAGGGTGCAAAAAGGGGAATTGTGAGACGAATAAAGCCCGGGGCATTCCACCTACCCGGTGTCGGGCTTCCTGTGACCGCGCCAACGTTTTGACCAAGCCTTCGCTCTCGAGCTGGTTCAAAGGCAACTGAAGAACTGAGGAGATTTGCTTGGCCTCCAAACAGGCTATACATGAAAAGCGAGTGTGCAACAAAAATGCCGCCGTCCGGTCATTAGAAACAGCGACGAACACAATGCCAAAGTGCGGTTGTACGTCAAGCAAAATGGATTGGCAATGGAATCCTGCCCGCCTTCACCAACAACGATGAACACAAGAAGCAAAAGCTCAAACCTTGAAAAAAGTGCAGCCACGCGCGCTCGTCATCGTGGTAGTTGTTGCGAAGGACTGTGAAACAAAAATTGGAAAGCTTGTTGTCGACCAGAACCTGGACGGTGAGGCCCGCAGCACAGTGCTGCAAAATATCCACGCGGTGCGCCTGCCAATAGCGACAAGTCCATTCTTTGGCGCCTGTCAGGGTACACAAGAGAAGGATGAGGCAGGGCATCGAGGCAAGCGACCACACCAGCCAAGGCTTTGGTGCCGACGAAAATCGAAAATGAGTGCAAAACGCAAGCGGCACGTACCAACGCTCATGCCCACGCGCAAGATGGTCTCGTGTTGCTCGACCGTCAAAGCTGGCAGCTTGGTCAGTGCAGGCAGAGTGCTCTGTGCGCGCGCACGAACGGCGGGGGGGGGGGGGGGGGGGACGGTCCCCAAGCACAAGGGTAGCAAAGCTCTTGGCCAACTTGGGCTGGCTCAGGAGGAGGGCATACAACGCAATGTGCTCAAAAGCGGCTCGAGACATGACAATTGGTGCCTTGAAGAGTGAGGCGGCATCGTGTGGCACATCTTCGTCCGACACGCCGTGAATCTGACAGAGGCTGGCCAGCATGGGACGAGATACACTCTGCAAGCAACAATGTCCCAACGCAAGGAGAGATGACAAAAATAAATGAGCGCCGGCGGACTTGCTTTGTCCGTCTTTGCAACACTGGTAGGGCCATACCGTTGTGATCCAGGATTGCTCTTCTGTGCCGAGAAGATGGTGGGCCATAATCCAGAGGCTAAGTTGGCATTGCTGCACATGGGTGGGGCAACAGTCAGTCTGTGCAGAACGGGCAGCCCTGGAGACATGAGCAGCACAATGCAGAGGGGCGCATCGATACCAGGGCTTCTGCGTTGAGCTGGCGCAGCTGTCGCTCGACAATTAGAATGCTTTGACTGCTGCTCGCCTGGACCACGGCATCTGAGAGAAAGACATTGGCCACGGCCCGAAGCGTTTCGAACTGGGACAGCGCAGGACCGGCCTCACGCAAGCCGAAAGCACGGCCCTCCGCAATAAAGCGGTGAAGGACCAACTTGAATTCTCGAGCCCTGATGATGAAAGCCAGCCACAAACAGTGAGTGATGGTTGAGGCACACCAGCTGCCGCTTTCTTGGAGTGCCTGCTGCTTGGTCCTCCCTGCCTTCAATTTTGGCGCCTGCTCATGCTTCTGTGCTTGCGCTTATTTGAGCATGAGCCGCTCACCGTTGATGTGCCGCCTTGAGCCAGTCGAGAACAGAACGCAGGCTGAGCCCGGACAAGTTAGCGATCTGTCCTTGACGCGAGGCCAAGGTTCGAATGAGGTCGGAGATGAGCCCCGCCATTCCGTTGAAAAGGGCGACATCCAGTAAAAGCCTAAGCCGGCCACCGAGAAAAATGCAGAGCGGCAGAGCGATGAGCATTGCAATGTTCCGTAAAAAGCTGAGCACCAGGTTGCATAGCTATTGATTATCAACGCACCGTTGCATGGCGCCCGTTCCCAGCGTCGTCTCGACATGAATGAGGTCAGCAAAATGACAAGCATGAAACGCAGCTTCGGGTTCGAGGAAGACGTTGGCACCGCCCAACGACAGCTCTTCCAAGGCCTGCAATAGCATGTGTGGAACAAGTCAGTGTTTTGCCAACCCGCAAGCATGCGGCTTGCGGCTGGCTGTGGCAGGGGAACAACGCATCACGAACGTCAACTTGAGCAGCAAGACAGGCCACCACCGCTGTAGGGGTGTGGGAGGCGTAGCCCAGATGGATGTCCAGAGTCATATTGGCACGCCAGTCATGGCTGAGAAGATGCTGGCGCAGTAGAAGCAGATGGGTGATGTTGGCATCAAGCACAAGAAAAGAGTGAGCTGAACAAAGAACACATGGCCTCAGAGTGATCAAGGCACCTAGGACAGGACAAATCACACGTACGTTGCTGGTGGCACCGGCCAACAGGCCCGATACATAAGGCTGAGCGACTTGGAGATCAAAAGTTGCCGAGACGGCACCCGTGGTGGCACCCTCCTGAGTCTCTTCTGCAAGCTCATATGTGGCAAAGAAATACTGCAGCTTGAGTTCAGAGGCCGTGGGAAAGGCCGGTGGGTAGTTGAAGCTGGTCCAACGGTCCACATCAAACAGCAGAGCCAGAGTTGTGGTGCTGCCCGTCGGGCTCCTGAGGCGCCACAGGCCGTGAGTGTATTGAATGCGTGTTGAAATTGAGGTCGTGAAAGCCCTATCCTCTGAAAAAAAAAGGGCGTTGAGAAAAATCATCCTTCACTACGTACACGCTATTCCACACGACGTTGACAAGCGAGATGTCCCGGGCATGATCCTCTACAAATACGATGCGCGCCAATGTGGTGCGGTTGTGCACATACACGTGGAGAACGTGAGTCGTTGAGCCTTGATGCTCAGGAAGATGATGCCGTGGGCCCGTGAGGGATTCTGACAGGAGTGGGGCTCGAGCATACCTATGCATTCAAGCGCCAAGACATGGCCACGATTGTAGTTGTGACCCGGAGAGGGCCCACCCAGGGTATTGTCAAAGCGGAGAGCAACGCCCTCCACCGTGGTCAGCGCCGCCTAAAGTAGGCCACACGATGACGCCCGGACCCAAGCCAATGGTGAACGGATGACCACCACTGTGGTTGGTGCAGTGAATGCCGACAGCTGCTTCAGCCGAGGACGTACCGGCTCATCCACGCGGACATTCTTGGGGGCCGTCATCTGCACCTGCATGATCATCAGCGAGGGTGGCTGCTCCTGCGAGCGCCTATGAAGCAGCCAAAGACGCACAAAGTGGAATTGAGGTCGAGTTTCTGGTGAGCGATTGTGGGTCTCCGCACGGGTGCTAGAGGAGACACTGTATCGTGCCATGCATGCCCATTGCGATGAGTTGTGTACGTACGGCTGAGTAGTGGCAAAGAGGTAGAGGATAATGTTGGAGTCGGAAGTGGCCGCGAGAAGAGCCACGTGGGAGAGAAAGGCTGCGTGAGCGCCAATGGCCACCTCATGATGGCTATGACATGCAAGTGCAACGGAATGCGCCGAGATGGCAAGCACGCGGGCGGTGAGCGAGAGCCAGGGCAGAGGACAGCTCCCACCGTCGAGCAGTGATGTCTAATACTCGGGAAAAAAAAAGGTGGGAAGAAGAATACGCACATGCAATCTGGGATGCTCTTAAAGAGAGAGAAGAGGGCAAACCCGTGTTCGCGAAAACTGGCCGTCAACAAGCCCTGAACAGGGGCGAAGTGAAGGGCAACAACCGAGCTGTGGTGATGGCCTATCAAACCCCGAAAAAAAAAAAAGAAATGAGGCGATAGCCGGCCAGCTTCAGCTCATCCCATCGGAAGAGGTGGGTCATAAGAGTGCGCGCCCAGGTTGACAAGACTGAATCCCACCTTGCAGGGTCAAAGCAACGGGTGTTGCACTGAAATCAACTTGTAGGGGGCCTTGGCTGTTGTTCAGGTGCACCAGGTTGCGAGGCTCGTCGCCCATGGTCCAGGGATGGGTGTAATTGGCTTGGGGAACATTCAAAAGAATGATTTCACCATCGGTGGTTCCCAGGGCTAAGGCCGTGGCAAAATTCTGCAAGCTGGGGCTGAGGAGTGGGCTGTGCGCGTGGGTGCGCCGAGGCCCTGTTGGCGCCCAGAGCAGACGTGTGGATGTAATCTTGTGCGGCACACAAAGAGCTGGGGCACAGAGACCCGTGTGGATGTTGACAGGCACGAGTAGGGTCATGGCACCGGCGTCGAGCATGACCAGGAGTGGAGCCGAAGCGAGGTCCCCGAGGGGCACGGCTGCGCGCACGAGGGGCGCTTGGCCCGCACCCTCAAAGTCAAAAGATGACAAGCGCTCATCATTGTAAGCGTCAAAGGCAATGAGCTTGCTCCGAAAGAAGGACCAGCCAAAGTGGCCGTCGGCTGTTAGCTGGGAGTGGGCGCCGGGAAGACCTCGGGGATTGATCAGATCCAGGTGATTGCGTACATGGTCTTTTTCCCGTGCGCCGAGAATCGGACCGCTACTCGTGTTGCGGCCTGACATCTCCAGCACAAAAAAGGGCTTTCTTTGCACGGCCATGGCTGCAAGTGAGCCGCTTCTAGCTGGCGAGGTGGTAGGATTGAGACAGGCCAGTGAGAGATTGCTCAAGACCCACCTGGGAGCAAGCAAATGCACTGGAGCATTGGGACAGCCAAGCAGTCAAGCAGCACCCATACCCGTCTTGTCCTATCCTGTCCTGTCCTGTCCTGTCCTCCAGGCCACAAAGGTGACCCTAGTGAAATGGTGCACCAACTCCTCCGCTTCCTTCACCTCTTCCTCATCCGTCTATCTGGCGACAGGCATGCAAAAAGTAACGACAGAGTGAGTGACCAGCATGACGTCCCAAACGAGCGCGTGGCCGACCCACCCAGCACACGCCTCAACAGCCAAGCGAACGCCAGTCTCTCAACCCACCCAGACCCCTGCCCCTAATTCCTCCCCCCCCCTGAACATAAATGCATTCAGTCCAACTCAAGCCACTGAGTCCAACCCTGCACCAACCACCACACGAGAGAGAGAGAGAGAGCAAAAGCGACGTACGCGCTGCCAGTTCCTCTTCCTCTCTCTCCTCTCACAGAGTTGAGAGAGAGAAAAAAAAAGTCAAAAAACTGGGAAAATTAGAAAAATAAAAGTGCTGACAACCCCTCACCCGTTGAGATAAAACACGGTTGCTGCACGTGTTGCTTCGTTCATCGCCTTGATAAAGTCTTTATATACAATATTATGCGATACAAGGTCAGCACAGTTAACCAAAGGTCACGAGTTCAATTCTCGTAGGTGCCTCATAACCACTGCTTGGAACCCTTCAACCGGTTCTCGGCGCCTTAGCTCAGTGGTAGAGCGTTGGTCTAGTAAGCTTTCTTTTTGCCTCATTTTTTGCACCTCCAAAGCAGACATTCTTTTTCAAATGTCTTCTTGGCGGGACTTGTGCCTTTGCTGCTCTGCGATCATGGACGAGCGGATGTGGCGTGCACGCAACACCAAGCACTGCAAAAAGGACGGTTTGTGACCAACGGCAGCAAAAGGGTAGGAACCGTCGTGACGTGGACGAATTACATAGAAGTATAGCATCGGCATTGCAGCAGTTGACAGCCAAGATCAATACAAGAGATGCTGGATGGGACGACCTCAATCAAACGCCGTCGTATCCGACGAGCGGAGAAGCCTGCTCCCGCTTGCCAGCGCCCTGCACCGATCCCACGGCTTGTCAACCAACACCCATGCACCCCAGATCCGACACCGAGGTGGCAAATCTGAGGAAGCACCCAATCAATTGTTGCGGCAGGGGCTCAGGACCACAGATGTAGTGCCGATCGGTTGGCACATCCCAGACGAACACACCGTCGCCCGTATTCCAGGGGATTTGGCCTTTCCAGGCTGAAGGATTCAATTTCACTGAATGCTCAGATCTGGTCTATCCACCCCATCGAGGCAAGCCGTCCACGTCAGAACAGCTGCTGGGATGAGATCGTACATACTCTTACATATATAGCGTCTCTTCCTCCTCGATCAGAAAAGGGCATCAAGCGCAAGGTCTGCTGTCGGCGAGCCGCGACCCGATGCTGTTTGCGCAGCGCGCGCACACGAGGGCTCCAAACTTGGTTACGAAAGCATAACGGCAAAGGTGATGATATTTGTATGACATTGTCGTCGCTTTATAAATACTTGGCTTTATATACAATATTATGCCTTGCACTGTCAGCACAGTTAACCAAAGGTCACGAGTTCAATTCTCGTAGGTGCCTCATAACCACTGCTTGGAACCCTTCAACCGGTTCTCGGCGCCTTAGCTCAGTGGTAGAGCGTTGGTCTAGTAAGCTTTCTTTTTGCCATATCTTTGCTTTTTCTGGCGACTGCACTTTTCCTCGCTCTGTTGCGCGCGTAAACTTTTTATTGACCCGTTAAGCACCAAACACAAAGAGTAGGGGTAGCTTCACGTTGATTAACCGCAAGAAGAAAACACGGGGAAAAAAAAAAATAGCGATCAAGTGATGCAAGTGGAAGGTGGGTTTCGGATAGGAGTCGGCCGGGTGCTGACGCCCTGAATAGGCGCGTGTACCTTGCCTCCCCTTCCGTTGCCAGGCTCGGCGCCTACAAGCGCCGAGCCTGGCTTGACAGAGTACAACCAAACAGGTTGACTTGACATTTCGACGGGCGGACAGACGCTACGCTGCCCAGAGCGTGAGGAGAGTCTGAATCAAAGCATCTTGAATGCTCAGACCTGGGCTCGCCTCACAGCTGTTTCTCTACGATAATCCACTTGCTTCGGATCAGCTATACACACCGGCTGGATAACCTTCCATATGAACCGTCAGAAGAAAATGAGACCTAAGCACAAGGTCCAAAGGGGGACGATCAGACCCCCCCCAAACTTTGACTTTGCGAGAATGGGGTATTTGCTCTCAATGTGAGAGCCCAAGACAACGGCCTCCGCGTGGGCCGACCACCAGGATCCATGCAACGATCGATGCCCCGTTCAGACAGAAAAGCTCGACATGTAGAAAAAGCGGACGGAGTGGTCTCGCGAAACAAATCGACATGTCACATGTACAAAAGCAAAAATATGGCAAAAAGAAAGCTTACTAGACCAACGCTCTACCACTGAGCTAAGGCGCCGAGAACCGGTTGAAGGGTTCCAAGCAGTGGTTATGAGGCACCTACGAGAATTGAACTCGTGACCTTTGGTTAACTGTGCTGACAGTGCAGAGCATAAATCTGTATATAAATGACATTCGATTCTTCTTCCTTATTCACATTTGTCAGCGTTTTCGTGTCGTGTTTTTTTCTTTTTTTTCGTGTAATTTTGCTCGAATTTCTGATCGGTACATACGGCCGTCGTTTACTCGATGATTCCGATGAGCCTTTGCTCAAGGTATCGCTGTGCTTTTCGAGGCTGCACGTCGTCGTTGACACCGTAAGTGCGGGTGCATGGCGACTCACGTGTATCCATCCGACAATTCACCAACCAAAAAGGTCGATGGCCTGTAGGGCGAAACGAACCTGAGATGGAAGCACAGCCTGTCAAGTCAACCCGATCAAGATTGCATGTCGAATACCTACCATCACGGCAGTATCGTCGTTGCTCGTTTGTTCTCACAGACAGGAAAGCATGCGCACTCGCCCGTATTGCTTGACCCGTCGCGGTTCGAGGAGAGCGTAGCCAAGATTCATAAGAAGGAAACGAAGAGAGAGAGAAAGAGAGAGAGAGAGAGAGAGAGAGAGAGAGAGAAAAAGAGACACACACACACACACACACACACACACACTCGCACACACGAAACACAATTTCAACAACACATCTTCAATTACAACAAGCATCATCGCTGAGACTGACTGACCGGCGGAATGGTGCTCGGGGCGGTCGAGGCCATGACCCCGTTCACGGCCGGGGAGCGAGGTGAGTGCAGACGGCGCGGGGTGGTGGGATAGGGAGGCAAGAGAAAGGGGGCAGGGGGAGGTAGGGGATGGAAGAGAATGGAGGATCGGGACTTTGGAGCAAGCAGTGGGACTCATCCAGGTGCGAGCACAGTACACGAAGCCGTCTACCTGTGGCAGACCAATGGTGATCCGTACAGCTCCAGTCTCGTACACGAGGTACGTGCGCCCCGTCGGGCCACCACTACCCACAGGACCGTGCGTTCTCACATGATGCCCGTCCGTGGCAAGCAGTCACCGCTGGTCATTGCGCTGTACGCCAGCCTACACACCCACGTCGCGTCCTTTATCTGGGTAAGCTGCTCGACCCGAATCAGAGCCACAGGGTTGCTGCAGTAGCCTGACACCCGCACACACGTATGCATGACCGGGCCTCCAGCTCTTGCACATCGCGGCAGCAGTACTGTTGTATCGGCTCGTACCCCTGGTGCGTCGTCTCGAGGTACGACAAAGACGCAACGTATCATTATCGTATCTCAAGCCTTCTCGCCCCACGCCTCACGCCGCTACACGTACACACGCACACACAGCTGCTACAGCAAGCAAAAGCAGTCGGTGGTGCACAGCTGGATGACAATGCGTTGAGTGCGATCAAGGCCACGCCCATCTGGCTGGTCAGCCAGGCACCGAACACCGTCTGGAGCCTACTGGTTGCAGGACTATACCTGCTCAACCCATACAGCATTGTGGCTCTCCTCCACCACGGCACAGTGGTCATTGAGCACTTCTTCCTTCTCCTAGCCATCGAGCGTGCCGCTCATGGTATGAGCCGGCCTCCTCCAGCGTACACGCGATTGAAATGCTTTCTGACAGATCCACATTCCGCTCAAAACATGTCCTTTTGTCATAGGCCAAGTGCTGCTGAGCAGCCTGGCCCTCGCGCTTGCCATCAACCAGAACCCTTTTCTCTGTTTGCTAATTGTAAGAGTATCGAGCAGTACTGTCAACCGTTCCCCATGTCCACGCTCACAGCCATGTTTGACGCTGGCCAGGACCCTTGACTTGTCATACCACTGTTTGCAATTGTCTTGGTCGTGCTCGGCTCATTTCGCCCCCTCCACCCCTCTTTGTCTGCTCTCGCATTCCTTTCCCAAATCGCCCATGACCATCATAGCCAGCGATCGGCGTATGGTGCGCCGCTGCTACGGGCCATCGTCATCATGCGTGGCGTGCCGCCGTGCTCACCATCGTGGCCTTTGGGGGCCTCCTCGCGGGCCAGGCCCAGCTTCTAGGAGGCTCGATTCACTTCCTGGCCCGTACAGTGGGCGCGCGGTAGGCTCAAGCCTGGGTAAATTACGGGGTCTATGGCTGCACCTACCGTGCTTTAATTCTCTTTCTTGTCGTGTGTTATCTACCAGCATGCTCGTGGAGGACCAGCAACCCAACATTGGAGTGTTTTGGTATTTCTTCACACAAATGTTCTCGCACTACCGGTCCGTCCAACCCAGAGATTGGTTGCATGGTCCGCGTCGAGTATGAGCTCGGGGCGGAATACCATCTCACCTGGTCCAAACGCCGCGTGCAGTGCGTTCTTCCTGGCGCTGGGACCTACCATTCTGCTGACGTTGACACCTGGTCTGGTATTGCAGCTCAGGTGTGTCAGATGATCGTCGTGTGATGATCATCATGCCATATCCTCCCACCGCCTTGCGCTGCCGGATGGGCGTGGTGTCGTGTGTGGGGGAGGTGGAAACTGTGCAGCAAGGCTCACACTGGTTGTTATGCCTGTGCGGTAGAGTGCTGCCTCCGATCCTGATGAGCGCACTCTACGGCATGATTACAGTGTTTCGTCCCTACCCTTCGTTTCCGGACGTCGTGCTAGTCCTAGTCTTGGCTTGTTTGCCCACAGGCCATCTTTATGGTAATGCACACGACGCAGCCGTGATTCTTGACGCACTCATGACTCAGCACCATGCCAACCACGAGCAAAGTCTCACTGCTACTGATCGCCTCCCTTCTGTGCCAATAGTGATGCGTTACATTCATGCTTCCTGTATCGGCATTCTCATCGGTGCCGTGCTCTGGTATGGCGCAACCCGAGTGAACGACCCATTTGTTTGTGTGTGTATGCTCGTGGGCCGGGCAAAGGCGCGCACGCTGTGCTCTCTCATGACGCTGCTCGTCATGCCGTAGTCCCGTCATCTGGTATGCCTGGGTGTACGTGGGTGCTGCCAACCCCAACTTTTATTACTTTGCCACCGTCGTTTTGAATGCGTCCTTGGTATGTCGCTGTGCCACGAGCCACATCTACATGCCTTCCTTCGCCCATCCCAGTCAGCTCATCTCACCATGTCGGCTTCTTTGTCAGACCTTGTTTGTGAGCGACGTGTGCTACGCACATTTACGGCGGCAACAACTGCTGACCTCAACAGAAGCAGCGACCGGCTATCTCGAGATGGCCTACCAAAACATCTCTCCCATACAGACCAAGACCAAGCGCGAGTAATTGACTGTCCCCCTGAGTCGAGCATCACAGATTGCTCCTCCAAACTGTCCATGGCAGGAGTCACGGCATAAGACTATTCGCGTAACAATTCGGACAGCTGAATTGTGCGGGGGTTTTTTCGTGCTTAAAAAGGGGACCAAAAAAAATGGGAAAAAAAGAAGCAAAGGGAAAACGAATGGAGGGATGTGTGTCACAGCGTGCCGCACATCGTCCAAGGAAACACCGGGCTGGGAGAAACCACCACAGGTGCAGACAACGACCCCTTTCACCAGAAAACATGCCTCTCGCCCGAGGGGCAACATTAGCAGGCAGCAAAAGGAGCAAGGCTCGTCAAGTTCACGCAAAACAAACGCACAACAAGCCTATGACTCCAGCATGCACGGCACGGCAGGAAGAGGTGGGAAAGGAAGCCATGATATAGAGGAAGACAGTAGAAGAGCAAGGGGTGAGAGGGGATTGGAGAGACGAGGCTCGGCCGGGTCAGTCTCGCGCAGAAAGGACGCTGAGTTTACTCAAGGGCCTTGACCATGGCCGAGTAGACCTCGACGCCAATCTCAGCCTCGGCACGCGACAGATCGTCGGCGGCCGAAGCGAGCTTGCTGTTGTACTCGTCCAGACCACGGCGAGCAGCCTAAACCCAACACGAGAGCCAAAATCAGGGTGCGCATGAACAATTTGCCGTGTCAAAACCATGGCGACTTGATCCTGATTCTATTGCCCCGTCTGAGAGCTTCAGTGGGGAAAGGCTGGAAAAATGACACCAAAGGGGGTCTAACGCCAAAGAAAAATGCGCCCGGCGCCCGCCGAAAGGGAACGGTACGCTCTGTTTCAACGCACCGTGATGTCAAGGTCCTCCAGACGAGCAACCTCCTCAGCAACAACCTGGGCCGACGAGTCAGCGTTGACGGTAACGACACCGCTGCTAACAAAGAAGCTGGCCGTGCTACCGCCATCAACCACGGAGATCACACCGGGCTTCAGGGCAGCAACCACGGGAACGTGGCTAGCCAGGATGCCAAACTCGCCGTCCAGCGCAGGGACGTTGACCTGCTGCACGGGGGACTGATCGTAGAAGGTCTATGGGTGCGCGCCATGATGACAAGCGGAATGAGAAGCGATCACAAACACATGGCTCGGAAACCTGAAGCCACGAGCCAGGCGACTCGCAGCCTTGTGTATGCAGAAGCAAGCACTCTTGGCAGGATTTCGTGGTGCCCCTGCTGCAAGCGGCTTCCCAAATTCCCGGAGAGCAGCTGACGATGATGATCCAAAGACTTACGCCCGAGGCAGAGGTGAAGGTGAAGCTCACGGCCTCGGCGGGAGCAGCGTCAGCGTAGGTACGCAGCATGGGGCGCGCGAGGCGGGCAGTGGTGCGGGCAGCGTGTCGGAGAGCCATTGTGTCCGGTTTTGTGATCCGCAAGAAGGAAGGCTGCGTCTGCACAAGCGGGATGCACACGGAAAGGGTCAGCTCAGCCTGGAACGCAGGCTCGGGCAGATAAGACTCGAAACAACATTCACAACAATAACCATCGCAACTGGAGCAGAAACAGCAACACTGGCCAAAACAGCAACCAGGGCGCTTGCGCTTGCGCGCCAGTTCGTCCAGATCGAACGGCCCTGCACATGGGCCACACTATCTTCTCTCTCTCTCACTACTAAGCAACCTTTGTCTCGAGCCCCCTGTTTCCATTCACCCCAAACACCCCATCTCCAACCCGATTGAGCAGACGTCCAAATGCATGGCTTCACGACACCACCATCCCCCGCTTCCATCCCCATCCCCGCTCCATCACCTCCAAAACGGCAGCCAGCACACGCCCGGCCGACCGCCACATGCACACACACACACACACACACACACACAGAGGGAGGGAAGTTTTAAAAGTTTGTATCGTTACCAGTGTAAAAATGACGGCTGTTTGATTCAGATTTGGTGGAGCATCTTCCAAAGGAAATTTGGCCATAACAGCTGTTCCTTCAGATGTTCGAGCATCGTTGTCAGACGTTTCAGGTGGTAGCGCGCTTCGGCATGACTGTATCGATTTTTTGTATAGGGAGCCCGAGGTTCCAAACTTCCAATTAGGTAGGCCGCCCCTGCTGGCATTCACCCTTGACTGGGCAAGCAGAATAAACGCACATGTGCCAGTCGTCCCTATGCAGAGACATCATACCACTTGCTGTTCGCCAGCTTTTGTGTTGAGCCCGACAGGTTGGATTTGTATTTCTTCACCATGGCCTCAAACTTGGCCTCTTGCTGGGCCTCCTATATTTCGCAGCGGCGTGAGAATGCGATGCGCAAAGGTCGACATGCCAGCGTATGACCTCGTTTCAGGTCTAGGTCTAGGCATGGGCGAGAGGCCTCTCTGTCCACAAGACTGACGTACCTTGGAAGGTCGCTTGGCCGAACGCTTGTTCGAGCTCGGGGTGCGTGCCGACTTGGGAAGTTGAGCCAAGTGGTCCAGCTCCGTGTCACGCCCACGGCGCGTGTTGCGGTCCGGGCGCTTGCCAGCGCGACCGGCACCAGCCTTTTGCGCCGGTGCGGCGGGGCGGTCCCGAGACGGTGCGCGAGGACCTTTGTTGCCTTGTGGCGCCTTGGAGGCAGCACCAGCGGCCTGGCCCTTGCGTGGCCGGTCTGACCGCGCGGCGGTCTTGGCTGGCTTCTCCTCGTTGCCTTCGCCATCACCTCGCTTGGCTCGCTTGGCACCACGCGAGCGCTGGCGCTTACCCTGGTTCTCAGCTTCACCACCATCAGCTGGCACAGTCGCACCGGTGGCGGCGGCAAACTGGCTCACCAAGCCCTTGGCTCGATCCGCCGCCGTCGCAAACTGCTTCTTTTTGGTCTACAATACAGAGGGGCACACACGCAAACAAGCACCAAAGCACAAGATCAGAAAAAGAATCAGGAAAATACGCGGGGAGAGGGAAGACCAAAGCTGCGAGACTGGGCCTCCAAAGCGGTGAATGCACCAATTCACGAGAGCAAAGAGACGCCACATACCTCCAAGCGTTTTTGTCGCGCCTCACGCTGCTTCAAAATTTGCACCTTATCCCAAGCAAACATGACAATGGGGCTAAAGAGAAGCAAGTGGCGATGAGATTGGTGGATTGTCGATCCAGATCAAGAAAGAACGATAACACAACGATGGGGGGGTCAGTTCAAGCAAAGGCAAAAGGATTGCCATACCGTTTTTCCGCAGTGAAGGTGGTCGGGTTGTTGTTGATAGTGCGCAGCGCTTGCACCGCCGACTGCAAGGGAAAAAAAAAAAAAAAAAAAAAAAAAAAAACAAGTGAGGGGAAAGGCCACGACTTGACTCGTCAGGCACGGCATTGCTGTTGGCTTGTGGGGTAGGAAAAAAAATCATGAGAACTGACCTCATGATCCTTGAATTCCACGAAACCGTAACCCAGGGAGCGAGGATTGCCCTCGCGATCCACGCGGGCACGGTCGCGCACCACCTTGACTTGCTTGATGGCACCCTCACCCGCCCCGCGGAAGATGGCCTTAAGCTGCGCGTCTTTGAGCATCTTGGGCAAATTGTGCACCGACAAGCGTGTCTACACAAGCAGAGCAAGGGCTTGAGATCCTGGCCAGGGAGACGGGCCGCGACTGAGCCGTGCACCAGGTGCACCAGCATACCTTGGACACAAACATGTTGGGGTTCTTCATCTTGGCCTTGTTCTCAATTTCTAGGTTGCGACGCTTGCGCTGGTCATCGCTTGACATGTCAACCCAGGCCTGCGTGTCCGTAGGAATAAAGCCTAACAAGTTTAGTTGCGCAGCAGTCAGTGAGCCATACCATGTGCTGCCAACGGCAGTGACCCCTCTTTGCTAGCTCTTGATTGTGTGAGAAATCTACCTTCGCGTGACAGGTACAGGTTTCGCTTGTCTGCCTTGTTAGCTTGCTCGCGGCGCTCGGTAGACACCTCGGTGGCCTGTGAACCCCAAGGTCAGGTGTTTTGAGCATGCTGGATCGTTGCTCGGCCAACAGACTTGAAGAAAGAGACGAACAAGCTCGGAGGGGGCTGGGCACAAGTTGGGAGCCCAGCGCTCAAACCACACATTGCAACTCTGACCTGATTGCGTGAGAGGGCAAGGGAGACGGAAATGGGACGGCCTGAGACCTCAAAGGGCGGCTATCAAGGAGATTGATCCATGGCGCAAGGTCAGGAAGGTCTCCAGCCCATTGCAGGGTCAGATGGGAAACGAGCAGCAGTGGCACAACCAACCAGTGTGGTGTCTTCCATGCGTTGCAGACAGCTGTCAGCATCGGCTTTGTTTTTGAACTTGACAAAGCCAGTGCCACGGGCACGCCCCGTTTCACGATCCCGCACCAGGACCGCGTACTCAAGATCCCCAAAAACACCAAGGCTGGCCTGCAACTGGTAGTCTTCCATATCATAGGCCAGGTTGCTAAGCAATGAGGGCATGCGGGAGGTGAGGAGGCGACCGGTCCCTGGAGCAAGGAGAGCATCGTGGTATGGCGACACGTCGTGGTTGGCGACGACCAGAGGCGACAAGGGCGTACTCACCGGATGAACAGGGTTTTGCCTTCATCGACGTCCTCGCGACGCGGTTTCTTATCGTGCTTGCGCTTGGCCCGTCCTGTTGTGTCCTCATCGTCGTTCTCGATCTCTTCGGCATCCTCATCATCCTGCTCTTCTTCCTCATCCTCATCTTCATCCATCTCCTCGGCATCCTCATCCTCATCCTCAGACATGTCCTCGTCCGAGCCTTCCTCGTCATCGTGATCGCGCTTGCCCGAGCGCAGTTTGCCGGGAGCCATGCCCTTCATTTCCTCGGCCGGAAGCTCGTCCTGTAAGCGCTCAAAGTCACGCTTTGAGAGGGCCCAATCGACGGCCATGGGGCGGCCCTCAATTTCAACGCCGTTCATTTCCCGAATGGCCGTGGCACCCGTGCCGACCGTTGCGTACTCCAAAAAGCCAAAACCTGCAGAGTGAGAAGGTGAGAGGAAAAATAGCGAGGAAGGTAGGTTTGGGTCACAGCACGATGGCTGGCACGGTGCAACGTGTGGCAGCAGGGGCAGGGTTGATGCAAGGGCTGACCTTTGGAGCGATTCTTTTCGTCGCGAACCACTTTGATTTCGACAATCTTGCCAAAGCGAGTAAACTTGCGACGGAGCTTCTCTTCATCAACTTCAAAAGCCAAGTTGCGCAGGATCAGGCGGGCCCGCTTCGTGGGTCGCTTGACGGTTGTTGCCTTGTTGGCCTGGCTGGCCAGCACGGCCTGAACGCGAGCGCCATGAATTTCGTGAAGGTGCAGTTTGTTCACGCCTTTGAGCGCATCGCGAATGGTCTTGAAAGTGATGCGACCAATCAGGCCCTTTTCTGCATCTTGTTCCACCACCGCCGTCTCGATTTGACCAGCTTTGCGCGCTTTGTTGTAGACATGGTTGCGCTTGGTGCCATCGGCCAGGCCTGTCAACAGCACAGTGCGCTCCTCGGTTTCACCAAAGCCCTCCACTTCCAGCTGTGAGAGCACAGGTTTGGCTGCAGGTGCGGCGGGTGCTGCGGCGGGCTCGTCGTCATCCGAGCGCACCATGTGCTGCTTGAGCTGGGAGGGGGGTGTTGCGGCCTCTTCTTCCTCGACATCGCTGTGATCCTCTTCGTCATCAAGATTGGTATCCGCTTCGACTTCCTCCTCCTCATCACTGTCCTCTGCCTGCTCCTCGGCTGCTTCCTCATCCTCTTCCTCATCGCTGTCGTTGTCTGACGAGCTTTCGGAAGCCGATGCCTGGTCCTGGTCAGCGGCAGATGTTGTCGCGTCTTCTGCGTCTTCCGCGGCTTCTTGCGCATCATCGTCTTCATCGACTGGAGCAGCGGCTTGGTGTGACTTGCGCTCGGGCCGACGAACCTATTGGAATTCAGCACGGGTGCCCCGATCAGGCGTGAGCTTTGAGGGCGGAGCTTGGGCTGGTTGTGGATTGGTTTCTCTAAGCAAGCAAGCCATTATGGAATTCCGTGACGGTCAAAGTCAAGCCCTAAATACAGGGTAACAGACCGTCTCAGGCTGACGTCGCTCGGCCCAATCCAATTTGAGGTTTCGGCCCTGGCACGGCGAGTTTTGAAACTTGTTCAGAGCTTCGGCTGCATCATCGTGCAGCGCAAAGCGCACATATCTGGATTCCGCCAAAGGAGTGAAAGACGAACATTCACGCGTGAGCAAAATGCCGATGCTAGGAAACGGAGGCGTGGCATTTGGAATGCTCTCGTGTGTGGCAGGCTGGGAACAACGCACCCAAAGCCTCGACTTTGGCCGGTCTGAGAGTCGTTGACGACAAAGCACTGTTTGACCGGGGCAATGTCACTGAAAAGATCCTCGAGATCCTGGCTCGTCACGCTAGTCGATGGGCAATCGGTCAACGAGAGGCGTGAGCAACATCTCGGGTGGCGACAAGCCGTGTACAGGGCAGGTAGCTCTACTCACCTAAAGGCCAGGTTGCGCACAAAGAGGGTTGTTTTGGCGCCATCACCCTGAGCGTCATGCTCTTGCCGCCGGAGTTGGCGCTTGGCCTTGCCCACCATGTTGGCGCGATTTCACACACAACACCACCCGTCCAACACTCGTTCCGAGGAAGGTCTGCGTGCGCTACGGGCCGCGCATACCAGTCATCTGTCAACGCACAACCTCGATCCATGCTCCCAACCATGATGCAGCGCCCTTTCAATGTCGATCACCGGACCCTCCTTTCTTCCTCTCTTCCCCCCACCCGTTCAATTCACACCTTCTCCCCCCTCCCCCCCGACGCTCCATCCCCACTTCTACCTCCCCCAGCCACGGCAACCTCGCCCGCGATGCGTGCATGTCACAGCCCTTACCTCGAGCCGCGTCCCCTCTCAGAAAATTAGAGAGAGAGAGAGCACGCGGTCAATGTGTTGTTGTGTGTGTGTGTGTGTGTGTTTGTGTGTGTGTGTGTAGCACGTTGTGACCACAAACGTCAGAAGAAATCTTTTCGCCCCAAAAGATGTCGCACCTCAAGAGAGAGATGAAGGCACAACTACCACATGTAGTAACAGAGAAGAGAAGAAGAAACAAGATAAACCACTCTTTCTTGATACATGTGGTAGTTGTGCTACATCCAGGTGTATGTTATGCCTTTCTCTTTCTCTCATTTCTCTCTCTCTCTCGTTGTTCGGGGACATTCAAAGAGGACGACCTTGAAAGTGGGAGGAGGGATCAATCAAATCACTCGGGTCAAGGGCAGCCAGTGGGGGGTCAGGTGGTACTGGACGGATGATGATGATGATGGGGGTTGTTGGGAAGTGCATTGGGCGCCGTGTGGCGTTGGCGATGATGGTGGTGGTGGCGGTGGTGGTGTGTGGGAGTCGGGTGGAGGCGGCGTTGAAGGCGGGCGGGCCACAGTGGACACCCATCAAGGACGAGCCGTATCGGGAGCTTCTTAGCCTGCGCGCGAGCTTTGCCAACCAGACGCGCATCGAGGGCTGGCCCCAGCTGCCCTTTGATTCCATTTATGGGATGTATGCTGCCAACGCCAGCCGTGCCGTCCTCAACACCGATCAGGGTGCTTACCTTCTCAACCTCGAAGCCGCTCCGACTTCGCTCAAGGTCACATCCCTCAACGTACCGCTCAAGCCCTCCGACTTTTTGGTGCCCCTCGCAACTGTTGCCGATACTTTTGTTCGAATTAGCACGGCGGGTGCTTCCAGCTATGCCTGCTCGGTACGATCCATACTCTGCTTCAGCCACGCTCGCTACCGTGGTGTCAGTTGGCGCCCGACATTGCCCATCCGCCTCGCACGTGCCCATTGGCGAGGTCAATGGCAGTTTGTACCTTGCTGTCCGTCCTCATCGCCACTTGATCACATGCCATAGGCCAGCTCTTGCGTGCAGCAGCACGCGTCTACCGCCTCTCTGCCAGACATCACGGCCGTAGAGGTCCTGCCCGGAAACAAAGGCGTGCTGATCGGAACGACCAACGGCCTGTACCAAATTGTCGATTTCACGACGAGCTTGGACATCAGTCCGCTCATCACCAGCATCGACGGTATCATGTCGCTCACCCCTTGTGGTGACTTTTATGCCGTCGGTACCGAGGCGCGCGTCTTTCGTATTGACCACCACGGCGCTGTGCTCGACTGGGAGTGGGTGACCCGCCTCGCCGATGGCGCTGGCGGCGTCTACGGTGCCCCGCCACGTGCCATGCGCTGCGATGCTCGGGGCCAGCTTTTCGTCGCCAACGAAATCAGCTTGAATCAGCGTGACAGCGATGGCTTGGTCTCTCGCTTCGATTTCAAGCAGGGCATGCCCATGAATAACGCCTCCCGCCTGGCCATTGAGCCTGGCACCGAGGCTGTCTGGGTCGGCACGTTCAACGCCCTGCTTCGCTATAGCCGCGGACAGGACGACCCTGACTGGCGCTACTTCCACGGTGATCGGTTCTTGCCCCATGATTCCAACATCACGGCCCTCCTCGCCATGGATAAGGACCATGTCGTCGTGGCCACCCCCGGTGGTTTGGCTGTCCTCGTCTGGCAAGAGTGGACGCTGCGACAAAAGGCCGACCACTACTACAACATCCTCCAGGCCCGCCACAACCGCTACGGCATGGTTAGTGAATGTGGCATGAGCACCTACGGTCAACTCTCCACCTGTCAGTCTGGCCCGAGCGATAACAACGGCCTCTGGACGAGCCTCCTGGCCGTCGCCTACACCTATGCCCAAGAGCTGGAACCCTCGGCCACCCACAGCCAGGCCCTCACCGACTTTCAAAACGGCATGCGCCTCCTCGTCAACATCACCCACGTTCGCGGCCTCATGGCTCGCACCTGCGTGTCCCCAGAGGCCAACCACAACAACCCCGATCCCAATTGGCATAACAGTTCCGCCCCCGGCTTTGCCGGCTGGGCCTTCAAGGGTGATGCTTCCTCTGACGAGGTCGTGGGCCACATGTTTGCCCACATGGTCATTGCCACCACTGCCTCTGACGAGAGCCAACGCAACCTCTCCCGTGATATCCTCTTGGACATTATCAACTACATCAACAACAACGATTACTACCTCATCGACGTCACCGGCCTTCCGACACGCTGGGGCATTTGGAATCCCTTGTACATCAACCACAAGTATGATTGAAAGCTCCAACCCCTCATGCGTTAAACAATTTGTTAAGCACAGTCAGGTCGAGCCATCGAGGCATTGACACACAGAGAGGAGAGATACTGAATGCTGTACAGACACCTTACGGATAACCATGGTGCTCCTCTCCCATTCACATTGTTCCTCTTGGTTTGTAGTCGTTCTTGGAGTGACGAACGCGGTCTCAATCCCATGCAAATTCTGGCCTACTTGGTAGCAGGCCGAGCTCTGGCACGGTAAGATCAACTCAAGCTCCTAATGCCGTGTGCTATCCTGTGTATCTTGATCAGAACATCTTTGTGAGCCATGTGGCACAGCACCGCCCTTCCTCACTCATGCCCTCGAATAGAACCCCCGCTGAAGCGAGTGGCTTTGAGAAGAGCATCAATGTACTCTGCAACTCCACCAACCAGGTGGGCCCTCCCTCATCACGGGGGAAACACTCGCCTTGGCACATTGCACGTTTCGGATCATGTCTGTCACAACCAAAACCAAAGTTCATGATCTTTCACATAAGCTTTCAACTGGAATTCATCCAGTGGCTTTTACTCACGTGTATGTGCGCCAATCCTCTGGCCAATCTCGTCGATGGCCTCTGCAGTATGCTCGGAACATGCTCAACTTGAAGATTGAGTCGCCAGATGACAACAATTACTCGGACGACGAGCTTACCTTTTTGCCCTTTTACACCATGGCTCTGGGCCTCAAGGCGGCTCCTTTCGGTTCGCTCGACACTCCTCTCGCCCAAAGCCTCGAGCGTACATGGCTCTCGGTTCGGGGATTGCGCGCCGCTCCCTGGAACGTCATCTATACCTTGATCAATGGCTCGCTCACGAACCAAGACGACGTGGACAATATTGCCTGGTGCGTGGTTGTTCCTGATGGGTGTGGAGTGCTGTCACATCTCCTTGGCCTTGGCTCACCCTTGACTTGACGCTCACCAACCAGGAATCTGCGCACGTGGCCGTTGGAGCTGATTGATTTTCCCATGACCAACACCATTCGCCGTGACATTTTCATGAACCCCGAAGGGGGTCGCAATGGTGAGGTTTACAACGATGACGTTCGCCGTATCTTGCCCGCGTACGAACGGTCTCAGCTGCGGTGGAACAGCGATCCCCATGATCTCGATGGTGGATCCGGTACTCAGGAGGGTGATCCCGGCGCCTGGCTCTTGCCATACTGGATGGCGCGTCATGCGGGCCTCATTGTTCCTTAAGCGAACACGAGAGCGGAACAACATTGCTTCGAGCTACATGTTGCTGTGGGTTACTGTGTGCCCGCTCATGCACGAAATTGCTGAGCTTAAATCAAGCCGACTGCAAGATTGGATGGCACCTACGTGTATTCAATCAATTTCATTTCACAGAGGACTCAGACCTCGTAATCATTTTGCTTCGTATCCTATTACAATGCTCACAAACAATGCTCTTGGGTCTGCACGGCAGAAAAAAAGCGAGCGCCACGGCACATGGTTGCTTATGTGTTGGCCGGGCCATACACCATCTCACAAAGAAGGGAAAAACCACAACCCATGTCGCAGCTGATCAGCCACTCGCCCGAAGATATGGGCATTCGGCACCTGCAAAGGGTGTGGCAACATGACACCGTCCAATCGCCAACGGCCTCATTACGCACTCGAACCTGTGGATGAAACTATCATCGCAGCTTGGCAGCCAGCGCAGCCCTGGCGTGTGCGTGTGTGTGGAATGTCAAGAAGTATCAGCTGTCGGGCCAACCATCGTGTTCGATGACCCGATTGCAGTCAGCATTCCTTGAGCCGGGCCACCTCGGCCACGGTGTGCGTGAGGGCCAGGTTGGCCTCGTTGAGTTGCTGCTCCAAGATTTTAAACTGATAAAAGATGTTGCCGTGCATTGTTTGTAAGGCTCGGATTTGTGACTCTAATTTGGCGAGGCCATCGTGCCGCTCCATTAGCTCAGCGCGGTTGGGCAAGAGACGGTCATCTGTAGTGCCGATCTTTGGTGGGTGTGCGTTACCAGGGCGAAGGTCGAGCTGTAAGGGAGGGGCATGGAGGGTGTGATTGGGCGCCACACGATTCGCTTGTGAGGTGATGACTGTCGGGGCTGCGATTTGTAGGGTGCCCGTGGTATCGGATGTGTGGGTCAGAGCCGAAGGGGGGACGGTGAGAGTGTCTTGAGCATGCAGGGTGGGGCCGTGATTTGCGACCGTGGAGATTGGTGGACATGCGTCCTGGGCCGAAGCTGGGTCATTGTGTGGTGCTTCATCCTCATCATCAGAGCTGGCACTGGGACTTGCTTGCTCGTGGGGAGGCGGAGGGTGTGCAAGACCAGTGTGTCCACTGTGGCCATGGTCATGGTCATGATCGTGACTGTGACTGTGACGGTGGCCATGGCCATGGCCATGCGGATCATTGGACTGATGGTCTGGGACCTGGGGGTGACTCTGAATATGACTGTTCAAGCGCGCTTCTGCATCAGCTGTAGGCGGGTCCAGGCGAGAAGGCGGGGGGGTGTGGCTGTTTCCAGATGCTGTTGGCATGGTGGGTCCGTAGTATTCAGGCTGATGCACCATATCATTCGCTAGTGAGTCTGAGGCGTCGTCTTGGTCATCGTGAGGATAGTCACCCAGGTTGGCGCGCTTAGGGGCTGGTAGGTACGGCGCAGCCAGGAGCATGAGGTGGGCTGGGTTGGCGCGGCGCACACCATGTGCTGCTCGTGGCTTGCGCAGCAGCCCAAAGCTTGGGTGGTGGTAGAGTTTGAGCCAGGAGCAGACGCCCTGGCTCGGCTTGATGCTATAGCCAAAGTGCTTCATGAGCGAGTACTGCGTCGTCTTGTTGCAAGCAGAACAGGTCCAAAAGCCTCCTCCACCCGGAGCGATGGCCCCCGCCAGTACGGGCGCCTTGCTGTAAGCTGCCTGCTGGAAGCTTTCATACAGGTGCGGGGGTAGCACAGAGGCTGTGACACGGTCTCGTACGACGGGTTGCTGCATGGCCCATGCCAATGCACCCTTGCTGCGAATCTGGCAGAACAACATAACATGGTGACCACGAGGTTAAACCAGCCAGCACACAAGCTGATGCGCGCGCGCATGCATTCACCGAGAACGAGCACCAGCCCATCAACAACCAGGAGCCGCTCCCCTCGTACTTACAGCGCGCACATCATACGTCTCATCGCCGCTCTCCTCGTGCTCCTCCATCACGTCAACGCCGCCTCCCAAACGGTCATCTGCTGAAAATGTCACACAAGTGTCAGAGAGAGAGAGAGAGAAAGAGAGAGAGAAAGAGAGAAAAGAGAGAAAGAGTTTGAGGAGAGAGTTTGAGTGAGAGAGAGAGAGAGAGAGAGAGAGAGTTTGAGAGAGAGAAAGAGAAATTTTAAGAGAGAGAGAAAGAGATGAGAGAGAAAACGTTTATTTTTGCAGCTGCTATGGGGACAGTGGGTCTTGCTTTCCTATGGCCATCGGCGGCTTGCCTGTGCGAGGATGAGGGGAGAGCTGGTTGTTGATATCCTTTCACTCGGCCATTGCTGTCGCAGGATGGGTTCTGGATCCCGAGTACAGCCACACACTACCTCCTCTCCATCCACATGCATGAGCAAACAACCAAACAGATTGAGCGAGGAAGAGTCGCGTCGAGCGTGAGATGAGAGGGCTTCACGCTAAAAAGCGTTACGGCGATTCTGGTATTAAAAAGTCGGTTGTTTCTGAGATCAGCTTGCTTAAGTTCAGGGGTGAGGTTCACAGATTCCCATCAAAGTCCAGCTTTGTCTGTTGCCATAGGAGCTGAAACATCAGCCCTGCTACAAAAGAAGCCTCAGCCGCCATCAAAGTCTTGTCACAGCACAATGCGAGCGTGTGTGACCGCACCCTTGGCTTCAAATTGCTTCAGATTCGTCCACCGCAGAGGTGGGAAACGGCCTAAACCACAGAGGTAACCCGGGGACGGTCAAATTCTTACTGTCCTGGTCATTGGCCACCAAAATTCGAGCGTACGTGAATTCATCGTCGCGCCCTTACGCACAAACGACACGAAAATCTGAAGCAACAGTCGGGAAAACGACAAGCTCCAGCAAAGCTGTACACTTCTATTCTGCCGTGTAGTACACCACCAGCTCAGGATAGAGTTGTGTATTCTCAAAAATGACGACTTCGGCAAATTGCCGTTGCGGCGCCGCGATAACCGAGTCATACCTAAGGAGATACCGAGCCCAACAGTCGGTTTAAGTTGACCAAAGGCGCACAACTGCTGAGACAACGATGTGATTCTGTGCAACGTACCGCTCATTGTTGGGCGCATCGGGGAGGAGCGGAGGAGCCAACGCCCTAGAAGGCGGTGCTGCATTCACATGGGCACGACCCAGCAGCGCTCGGGCGATGACGAGCATCCGCTCACCATTGGGTCCAGCACCGGCGTACTGATGACTCTAACATCATGTGAACATACACTTTATGAGAACAGCATCCCTCGAGTTGTCATTTCAAGCCCTCGCTTTACGCACCTTGCCGGGGTGGTCGGCCAAGTAAACACCATACCCAAACTGGTGGCCGGCGCTGCTACCGGCAAAGCGATAGTCAAAGCCTAGGCGCACGATCTTGTCGCGCAACTTCGCGTCGGGGGCAATGCCGTGGAGCAACAGGCGCTCTTGACAGGATGAGTCACGAAGCAGAGCTGGAAGGCCTGGGAGCGCATCCAAGGTGGCCGTTTGGAGTTTATTATAGTGCTCCTGTTTTTTGATGCGATGTAACATCTCACGTCGCTTGGCACTGTAGCGCTCCCACAGCACGGGGTTTTGCACGCGCTCAACCCGCTGTACTGCAATATTCGCTGGCCCCCGCGCGTCGGTGTTCAGCTGCTTCAATAGCTCAGCCACCTAGCCACACAGTTGTTTCAAATCAGACGACTTGTGAAAGAGCATTCAATCAACAAGCCACGCACCTCTGAAGTGAGCTCGGGCGCGTCACGCAAGACATCAATGGCTGGTCCCACTTGAGCGATGGCAGGCTGCTGCGCATGCTGCCCAGCGTTGAAGAGGCTTGGCCGTTGCTTCGGATCCGTTGCGAGCAAAGCTCGCGTTTCCTTGTACAAATCGCTCGTCGAATCGCACATCTGCAGCAAAGGTCGGCAAAGCAAAGCGCAATCAAAGCGGTGCTCAGTTGTCGGTCAAGAGACATTGCGATGTTGCTCACCTCAGCCGCTAAGTGCGGAAAACTGCATTCTGCACCTCTTGCTCCTGCCTCCCATTGGCATTTCTCAGCAAGCTGGTCCGTGGGTAAACGAGCAGGTGGCACCGTTTGCGGGAACATGTAGGTGTTGTACAGCACACAGCCAAAGGAAAAGGCATCCTGTGCCGGACGCGCACCCACACGACCTAGGCCAAAAAGCACCTCGGGTGCCACGTAGCCTGCCGTGCCCGACGATGCAGTGGCCGTGCACGGCAACATCGTGGCTTCAGCGGCGGCCTTGGCAATGTCGAAATCGCCGAGCCGCACAACCGGCTGGTCCTCTTCGCCGTCCAACATGACATTGCTCAGCTTGACATCCCGATGTACCAGGCCCTTGCTGTGCATAAAGGCCAGAGCCGTGCGCAGCTGAGCCATCAGACCTGCAATCACGGTTGAGGTGGCCAGGTGGCGCGCCTTGCCGAGCCACTGCTGCAAATCACCCTGTGTACACCATGGCTGCACCAGGTAGGCGCTCGGATGGCCGTCTCGCACGTCCACAAGCGCACCGAGGACCGGGATGATGTGTGGGTGCTCAAGCTGGCGCATCGCGCGAAGTTCTCGAAGAAACGTACGGCATTGATCCTGCTTGTGCTGCCGGGCAAGTGCAAATTCCTTCACAGCCAGATCTTGCTCGGGGCAGTCTGGTAGCGCTGCTCGGGCTTTGTATACCTTGTGGTTTTGGTAGTAGTGGAGCTCAAGCTGACCCAAGTCAGTCAGCGACAACCGCTGGTCTACTTCGGTCATGGCCTCCAAGATGAGGCTGGCCGGAAGGTCGGCCCCGAGCACAGTGCGAAGTCGCTTTCCCAGCGTGCTCTGCTCGGGGTGCAAAAAGACCAACAGAGCTGGGAAATGCTGATGCAGCAGCTGGGTGAGCTCTGCGACGTGCTCCACGGGTGGTTCAGCTGAAAGCTTTTGCTGTAACGTTGCGCGTTGATTTTCCATTGCCTTCAATCCTGGCTCTAGATTCGAGCGCATTGCCAGGGGTAGCATCGCCAACGCAGTTCGAGTGGCCTGAATTTCCTGTTGAACTCGATTCAGCTCCTCGTGCGCAGCAAAACATTCTTCGTCCACGCCGCGAGTCAAACTGTCAGCATGACTCATGCATGAGTTCAACACAGAGAGCGTTGTCGTCTGCCAGTGAATCATGTCTTGCATTTGCC